GAAAAATGTTGTCTTCCAAAACCAATGTGAATTCAGACGAAAAGGTTTGATGGACCGTCCTTGTCAGCAGAGTGAGTTTTAAATTTGGTGAGTTGGAAATGTGAACTGAAATTGGTCATTCAAAATTTGGATGGTCCATGATGCAGACGTTTTCCCAGCAGTTCTAAGAGAAGAAGAGATGCAGCAGAAGATTCAATTATGTGCGTAAACAGCTCATTGTTGCTCAAATAATCCTGAGAAAAAGCAGAAAACTTTTCATGGATTTGCTCCCAGCTTTCTGTGTTATTGTGTGAAAGGATAACAGCAGGATAACAGCGGAAATATCCAGTTCTAAGCAAAGTTATAATAGTTTTGAATTAACAATTAGTTTTTATTTTATTTTAGTCTTGACCTTCAATTAGATTTTAGTTTTAGTTTTGTTTTATATTAAGTTTTACAGTTATTTTAGTTTGTTTTTGTTATGGCCAGGTATAATGTCTCAGAAGTATATAGCTTCATATACATACAAAACACATGGTTGGAGAACTGTGTAGGGATGGCCATAATGTTTAAATCCTTTGATTTGATAACTTTCTTTTGCCTCAGTTTATTTCCGATCCCTCATTGTAAATGTCACTACAGCCAATCACACAGGGGGTTTAATGAAGCTGTGTTTCAGTTCATTATGTCATAAAATAGTGAATAGTAGCGGCACAGGAATTTCTGCTCACCTGGTTAACAGGTTGCTTTAATGAGCTGCAATCAAATCAATCTGTCTGTAAAACAGAAACCAAAAAATTGTGAGTTTGACTTTATAAAAACTGTGGATCAAAAGAGAAGACACAACAAAGGCTATGACAGAGCAACCAAGCTGTGTTGACTGTGATGCACAATTTAGTTACTTTAACCAAAAGAAGCAAACCAACTAAATCCTTTTTGAGGCTGCAGTTTTATGGTGTTGTTGAACTGCATTGCATTTTACAGTTTCAGATATTTAGCCTACCCACATTGGTATAAATGGGACAAAACACCTGTCAGTCTAATACAACACAATAGAGTGCTGCAGGATGACGTATTTTTGTAGATCTCATTACAGGCATCTAACCAAAACCCCAAATTTTGACTTTGAGACAAAATAATCGAAAGTGCGAAGATGCTGACTCATTTCCGGGTTTCAGGATTCATTCATGCAGCACTTTAGTCAACAGCCTCCAGTACGATCATACATTGAATCAACAAATCTCCAAAACAGTTTCAACAAAAACTACATGTTTACATGTTTCCTTGTTTATGAGATCAGGAGTAAAGTGTGAGTCTGTTCCACGTTGGATTGACCTATTCATTTGACTCTTGAATTTGACCAATTCATCAACATCAGTCTTGGTGAAATGTTAGGTGGCCCAACCTTTCTAAATGTTCTGAGTGGGCAGACAGTATCTGCCAGAAGGGAAGCCTGTGTGATACGACTGGCTTGTCAGTCGACCTGATTGCCTACAAGTTCCTCCAACGCCCTCTCAGGCCAGTGATTGATGATGGCTCGGCAGAGCGTGGAGTGGAGTTGGGAAGATCGGGCCACTTTAGGTCTAATCAATTTTATTAATCGCCTGTCTTCATCCATAAGCATCATTCACTCCACTGAAACCTTTTGTGATCATGAAACAAAACCAGGACGCCTTTTCTAATGATAATGAGCAGCTGACAGGTTGACTGGGTTGGTGAGTAGTCACATGCGATGTGCAGATGTATTTGTGTGCACGTCTAGTGTTTCTGCTGCACAATTTCATGGCATTGAAAACTGAATTAAAAAAGTCCCTGTTGTGATACGTCAGAGCTCGGGGTGCTGGAGTGTGGGATTTACATGAAAAAACAACAGTCGACAAGCTCAGCTATCTCAGGATCTGTGTGCAGAAGAAGCGTAGGAGAGTGCCAACGGGGTCTGTGTGAGGCGCTTTGCCTGTCGATGTTTGCATACAGTCATCCATCATTTTAATCTTCAGTGGCAATGACAGAAAGTGAAATGTAGAATTTCCCTTAGCCAGCATTGGGTAACCCTTCATCCACAGAAGCAGCATTCAGCAGCTTGTAAGCACCTGAACAATGGCATGAAAGTGGTTCCCCGACATAAATCCAGAAGAGCAGCTCATTGATATTCACAGGAGATGGAAATAGAATGCTTTCTGGCAATGCAAAGCCCGATTACTCACACTTCATTCATAGTTAGCTTCACAGAGGGATAAACTATAGGGCAATGTCACTGTGAGGTCAGGATGAAGTTAGGCTTTGACTGCAGCTTGCTGTTGCAGTGCAGAGGACGTTTGGATGATAGGGAAGGCATGCCCAGAGATGGAGTAAACCCAATTTATTTATGAATGAAAATCAACATAAATCTTTTTATCCTTTTCCAACAACTCCCTGTAAATGATGCCAAAAGCATGCTACCATTATAGTTTTCTGAAATTGGAGCATAAATATTCTGGCATTAGTTCAAAACAGTTCTTAAAGTTATTTTAAACTTATTAATGTCAATCTTCTGCTCATGTTTGTGTTCTGTATGCCCACATTGCCATCCACCATTTGCAAAACCCTTCCTCTGAACTGCGATTGGCCAATTAATGGCACAGCAGGTCTGTCAAGCTTTCGATTCAAAAACATGTGAAAGCGCTTTAAAAACGAGTGATATGATATTTTTTTTAACTTTCAAACCCCCCCAAAAAAAAATCAAGATCAAAAGTGTAAGGAATGAAGTAATCAGTGTGTGTGTCTACTCTAACATAGTGACCATGTTTTCAAACCCCCAAACCTGAGCCCTTAAGTGTATCACACGTTCACGCACATGTGTGTGCTCATGCACACATTGAAGGTGTTAAAAATGATTTCTGCCTTAATATGTTATTTTTGAAAGATGTTTTGGGGGGGCTTTTATTGCCTTTACCAGAGCAGCTGGGGTGTGATAGGAAAGGGAGGTGAGTGCAAGGTGTGTGATGTCTCAGATCACTAGATGCTAGCTGTCTGCTGTGCTGCGTCACCCGGTCCTGCCTCAGCTCCACCAACAAGCCACCTTTTGGCCGCGAGTTAGGCTATGTTGTCACTGCCAAGATGCCATCCACTTTCGGGTGGGTGGCGTTTTGAAGACTACGTCCATATTTTATAAGGTCTATGTGCAGAACGCAGCATTATTGTTGCCGGGTGGTCTGCTTTAAGAAGGAAGGAGTAAGCCTCCTGGAGCTCTTTAGAAAAGACAGACTTTCTCCTCGGCATGACAGCTAACCGTTGGTGTTCTGACAGGTTCTGTCAGAAAGAGATGCAGGCGTCACAGCAACAGCCCTGACAATGACGCATTGATTGATTGACTCACACAGGCCTACAGACGAACGGGTGTTCAATTCAGAGGGGGACAGAACTTGATAAACGTCTATGTAAGCATTGAAAACAAGCATATTCATCAGCTGAAGACAGAGAAGAGCCAGCAAACAGCACAGACCCCTAGTGGAGAATTAGCTATAGCTACATCTGTAATGGGGGCAGTAGAGGTACAGTAATATAACACTGATCGAACTAATAAAAGTTAAATTGTGTCCACTTTTCTTTTATGATCATCACACGTTGGGCCTGAACAAACAGATCTAGATGACACTGACTCAGTGATAAAGGCTGAACGAGGAAATTGCCTTGGAGGAAATAATGTGTCGATTATTTTAGGATTAGCGACAACAAGAGATCCAGAAATGGCAGAAAGGGTTGCAGATAAGAGGTGGGACTGTGTGTGTGTGTGTGTGTAGGAGATCATTATGAGGATGCGTGTGGTGGTGGAATACTGTGTGGGTGGTGGTGGTTGGCTGGGACCCAATTATTGTTTGGCAGTGAAACAATGTAGACAAATAGAAGTATACAAATTAGCTATTGCCATTCAATCCTTTAGGAGTAGATCAACTTGACGTTTTTGTTTTGTTTTTAATGTTGACTTAAAAAGAAAGTTTCCTGAGTTTGCAAAATTGTTGTGATGCTATTTTAATTGGAAAAGGAAGATACCGTACATTAAACACACAGAAAGTGTCTCATCTCCTCATCATTTCAATTATAGTGATTTGCAAAGATAATCTTTATAGGTCAGATATTTTTCTTAAATGACAGAAATAACCAGTTTTAACTTTTTCAGCAGAGTTGGCCATTCCTTCAAGTTTTTATATTGAAATAATAACATTAATATACAAAAAGCCGCAAGCCTCTTTTCTGACAGCAGGATATAATAAAATGGCCACAAATTGAAGAGAGTGCGCAGGAAAGGGTAACACAGAGACTGCTAAGTGAGGGAAGCACACAAAAAGAGAAAGGGTGAACAGATTGATAAAACAGATTACGACAGTAAAAGGAGAAAATCCATGCAGGACCTTGGTGAGCGCCAACGTCATTTGGGCAATTAAATGCTTCCGCATCAGTCAACCCTCTGTGGGCAAGTAATGTCCAAACACGGCTGTCTCACACAAGCAAGTTCCTTTGGAAATCAAAGTGAAGCGCCAAGTCTGTGGCCACCGCAAACAGGGCATCAATGGAAGTTTGAAATGAACGGGGAGAGAAACCAGCTTTCATCACCGTTTCAGCACCCAGCACAGCTTTAGACTTTTAGGTGTTTTTATAACTAGTTCCATTTTCTGCTACATTATACTTAAAAAACATTGCTTATAAAAGTCACCAAGCTGATATATAGCCTACATATCCAGTGGCTTACAAAAGAAGTACAAAAAAGTATTGTCTAGTTGGGGCTCCTTGTCACATTTCAGATGTCTATGAGTTGTTATCGGTTCCACCATCCATCTAACATCTCACATGGTTTCATTTAGGTAAGTTTGAGGTCCATAGAGGTGACACTATCCAATATTTCACAAGAAAGCAAAGCTTTAAGTCAGACTTTTTTCCTCTCTAATTAATCACTTTATTTCCCTTTCTTGTCTTCTCTCTCTCTCTCTCTCTCTCTCTCTCTCTCTCTCTCTCTCTCCTTCTCTCTCTCTCTCTCTCTCTCTCAGTCTCGTCAGACACCTGAGGGCGAGTTCCTGCCTCTGGACCAGTGTGAACTGGACGTTGGTTTTGGGACGGGTGCAGACCAGCTCTTCCTGGTGTCCCCTCTCACCATCTGCCATGAAATCAATCCCAAGAGCCCCTTTTTCGACTTATCTCAACGCTCTCTCATGAATGAACAGTTTGAGATTGTTGTTATCCTCGAGGGCATCGTGGAGACCACTGGTGAGGGAATTAAACTTCTTTCCCCATCACTTTATTCACCTCTTTCCTTTTATAATTTTGGTATCCACCTCCATCCCATTTTTATTTCTACCTTTCTTCACTCCTCTCAATCTAAATGTAAATTCCTATTTCAACATGAACCAACACTCCTGTCTAATAGATACTAGTGACCTAAACTCTGTGAAATCTCATTTCCCCGATTCTCAGTTTTACATATTCAAAGAACGTGGGAGCTGAAAAAAAGTGAGAACAACATATGAGAATGACACCCTGATTGAATTAGGAGGGATAAATGATTACTTCAGAATCGGTTTACGGCCTGTGGTCATAGATGCGTGTGACACTTTGATGAATGGCCCGGGTTTTAGTCGAAGTTCCACTCCATTTTTCAGATGACAACTGAGACCAGAGGTAATTCTGAGCCTGTGAGACATTGTCACACAGGCGCCACTGTCAACCACAGGCAGCCATGCTGGAGTACTCTCAGTGACAACACTGGTCTCTGTAGCATTTGTAACAGAATGATTCTTCCCTCAAGTCCAATATGAATAAATCCATCTCCCTCTTTTCGAATTAGTTCTTCTTCTATCCATCCCCCATAACCCTCATTTTGCCGCTGCTGCAGAGGATACCACAGAGCTCAATAGGCTTAGAGCGGTGGGGACGGATCAGCAGGGAAGCGTAGAGGCATGCAGGCAACACGGTCTGTGCTCTGTTGATAATACCATTAAATCAGGGTGCAGCCACAAGTTTAGTGTCGCAGTGCTGTGGCACTCTGAGCTGAGGCGTAGAGGAGGGAAGCCCCGGCAGTGTCACCTTCAATGGCCACGATATCTCATCATCCGCACACTAACAGACATCCCATTAACCCCAACACAATAAGTGGTATCCCCTCGTCTCTGTAACTCATTCCAAGTATGTTTCAAACATGCAGTCACTCTAATATTTGTCAGTTTTAGTTCATGCCTTTGAGGCAGTACCGTTTCTGTTTTTACACATCTGAAAAAAGAGCAGAAAGAGATTGGTGTTTGAGTTGTGTTTCTCCTCAATACATATAAATAGAACATATAACCTCCACAGTTACGGTGTTGACTGTTCTATGCTGAGTGATTCAGGTAATACTGTTCCTAAACTAGGCAAAGCATTATCCCTTAAAACATTTCTTTGTTGCGAAAGAAATAATAACTAAAACAATTTCAACCCATCATCTAATAAACCTGTCAATTAGGGTGTCTTGTAATCAATGAGTGTGTTAAGATGGACACAAGTATCCCGGTTATGAAGCCTGGTTTTGCTCATATTCGGGATATGATGTTTACCTGCAACACGGAGAAATCATGAATATTAGTAATCTGGTTACTGATTACCGCAGTGTATTTGCGCAGGCGCCCTTGATGTTAACCAAAACAAACCGACCTATACTGTACATTTTCAACCACTTGACAGCTTTACTGCTAATTTCCTCTCTGCTCCGATCGCCAACAGCTTCCTGCTCAGAGCTTATCCACACACACTTGCTCGGCACTGAGCTATTGCTGAAAGCAGCTACACTACTCTTATAACACTGTCCTCCACTGGTGTTAGCCTGTCACATATTTTGATCCCGGATTCTAGGGAGTAGGTACCTGAACCGTGGAGACCTCTATAATCAGGGCAGGTGACGTGTACCATCGTACAAACCTTTGTAAACCATTGAGTAAAGGGTAGTCAACATGGCTTGGTGCCTTGGTGTAAATCCCTTGACTCTTTTTTGCTCTGGCGTATCAACACCATCTGTAGGTTACACTTTCCCTAACATGATAACACTTCTCTGCGTGTTTAGATACGTGCCAAGTAACAGTGGCCAGATTCAAATAGAGTACAACAAAAAAGCCAAAGCATCACAATGCACTCCGTAAACAGTGCCACTGAAGGCTACTGCCAGCAATTTTACATAAAGTCTTCTTCAGGGACGTCCTTCTCGCTGTCTGTCAAGTGTTTGCATAGTTGTGCTGAGGGCTTTTAATTGAATGCAAGATGCCGTAAACATTAGCCAGCTAGATGAATACCTGCTGATGCTGAATGATGAAACTAAACGGGCATGCCTGTTAGGCTCTAAACCCACAAGCTTCCGCTGCAGCGGTACGACTGCTGCCTAATAGATCTACCGTCATTCTCCTGGTAAGAGAAGAGAAAACAGCTGGAAAACTATCCTGGACTCACCCTTGTGATTAAAGCCAAGCATCTGGGCTAATTAAGAATAAAAATGAGCTTTGTGTGAAGGTACAAATGACTTTTCTGTGGATGACGATGACTAGTCAGCCTGGAATAGCATCAGGCTATGACATAACACAGCGCATATCATCCCTCAGAGGGACGGGCTCAGACTCCTACTCTACAGCAAACTGTAGTGTTTAACAGAAAGGCTCAGGTGGAAGCAGAGCCACTGGATCATAAAGAATATGGACTAGCTGCTTATTGATCACAAACGACCTCCAACAAACATCTTCTCAAGACAATTAACTGGCGAGAGTTCAAATGGAATAAAAGTGGGTTATTAAGATGTTTGCAAGCTGTTACAATCCTGTATACAGAAGACACACAGGCATGAACCTTAATAGAAAACCCCTGAATTTTGAATGATTAATAAACAACTGCAAAAAGAGCATGACATCAGTTTGTCAATAGCTGATTGTGTTTGAGATGAACAGAGATTCAGGCCAGCACAAATCACAATCAACACCACAAGTTACAATACATACATGAACAGACAGGACCCGTGGCTCTTGACATTGATGTATTGATGAGGTAACTTTGATGGGGGACTGTTTATTATGTTGACTAGATTTAAACTGGTAATTATCACGACCAACACAAGGGACGCTGATAACAAGCATCTCTCATCGATATCAACAGCATACGACAACAAGAATCCCTCAGCATTGCATGGAAACAAACAGCACTGCTTTGAACTCCAGGAAGGAATATCTAAAGACAGATAGATGTCACTCTCTGAAATGGTACATAAGATGTCCTTCATCTCAAATATGTATTATATTTCAGCGCATCAGAGGTGACACGCTTAAAATATGAGGAGACCTAAAGTAGCAATATTAGTCGATAATAATAGCTGTTTATCTGCTTTCATGAACCATTTAGAAAATGGTAAGACTCCTTTTCATACAGTTAATGACTGCATTCAATCTCCAGTATGTGACTGAATGGGACTAGGTGGTAGACTGCACAGGAAGGAGCATGATGCTGCCACTTCACAAGCAATAAAGAAGAGCAGATTGTGGAAAAAAAAGATAATGGGAGGGAATGCTGCCATTTCACATTTGTCCTTATCAGCCTATAATTGTTTTGCTAAACCCATTCAATGTTACTACCCTGACTCTCACTTGTAGGTATGACATGCCAGGCCCGGACGTCATATACCGAGGATGAGGTTTTATGGGGCCATCGCTTCTTGCCGGTGATGTCCCTGGAGGAGGGCTTTTTCAGGGTAGACTACTCTCAGTTCCATATCACGTTCGAGGTACCGACACCAGCGTACAGCGTCAAGGAGTACGAAGAGAAGAATTCACTGCCCTCGCCTCTATCTACTCCTACACGGACTGAGAGCCATGGCGCCCGGCGTGACCGGGTGTTTTCAGTGGACTGCATCAACACATCGGAGGAAAGGAGGGGAGGGACTGGGGGTCGACTGCCGAGCAAGCTGCAGAGGATGAGTTCATCCGGGAAGGAGGACCTGCAGAGGAAGGTGCTTCTGCTCAGCTCCCAGCACTCGGAGAAGGCCTGCAGCACAGGAGACCTGCCTCTAAAGCTGCAACGCCTCAGCTCCACGCAAGTATCCGGGCCGGAGAATCGACTGAACCTCAAGTCGGTCAAGGTGGGCTTCGAACCCATGACCCAGTCTACTGGAGACCTGTACCAGCAAAGCCTACTACCCACGCCCACACTGTCCACTGCTCCGGTCCCCATGCACAGCCCACTGCTCTCAGCTGGAGGGAGGCCAGAGGACAACCTGCCAGCAAAGCTACGGAAGATGAACGCTGACCGCTGAAACCCAGACAGTCCCACAGCAACAGCCTTCCACTGACCTCCGATAACAGACGGACCGGAGGACACGCGCATGGAAACTGATTCAGAGGTGTACTTTACCTTTTGGGGCTTTGATAGGATAAAATCAGATGTTTTTTTCTGACAATTAATTGATTCGTTGTTATTTTTCTTGAGACAAACTTTACTGGAATTACTGTGATTTTTGTGTTTCATAGCTGAGGCATTCATGCAGGTTTTGTTACACACGAAAAACAAGAAGAAAACACAAACTTCATGCTTCATTTGAACTCGACACATTCTCACGCCGAACTCGTCAAATACCGCCGCTTGGTCAGTGCAACTTGGCATCGACGATAGACGCACTAGGTACCACCCTAGACGGAGTGTCAATATACGCTCGTTACATGCATGGTGTCCTTTCAAAACAAACTTCTGTCTTCGCAGATAGTTAAGTTTAGGAGACAAAACCACTTAGTTAGGTTTAGGAACAGACCGTAGTTGACGTTAACGAGTGACTAACGACTCAGGTGACAAAATGTCGTTTTGCACAGTACGTGAACACCGCTCTACTGGAAGAGAGTCCTTGTTTGTGTGACCCATCCACCATCACCCCTCCACTCTAAGACTTAGAAGACTCTCACAGACTTCATTCAACGTCACACGCTCTGACCGTCGACTAATGCCAAGGGAGGGTTTACATTGGAGTTAGTTGAAAGCCTGGTGCGCCGCATACAGCCACTAAAGGGGGCCTCTGTGCGTCGATCTTCGATGCCAAAGGGGAATTGGCAAAGCAGAGGTATTTGACGAGTTGGTAGTGAGAATGGGTCGGCAAACTTGATCATTCTGCAAGAGTTGTGCATGTATACACTAAATCCATGTATGCACCACTACAGTTAATAGTCAATCTTAGATCTAAATATAAATTATATACGGATAATAATAAATGCTGTTGATCTTTCTCTTCCTTGTGTTTTCATTGCTGTCACACCAAAAAAAAAAAGTGTTGTTAGTGCAACAGGTTTTCCCAGAATGCAATGAAGTTTTAAACGGCTGTTTATAATGCCCTTCTTTTGTCCCATTGGCAAGCAACACTTTTCTCACTCGTGCATATAGGAGAGAGAGTGAGGATAATGAGCGACGCTACTGCCAAGAGGGAAATATGACGGGTGTTTATCAAAGAATGGAGGCTGATTATAGTCAACCCATCGTTCCAGACGGGAGTAATGTTGTCAGGCAAACACACACAGACAATAGATTGTGTGGTCATTACTCCTACAACCACAATCTTTGCTTGGTATCCATTTACCCAGGATATGCAGATTTGATTTAAAGTCATATTTGGTCAGCTTTTGTATCAACAGGCAGTGTAATTAGAGATCTACTGTAGGGCACAGTCCCCTGCTCCTGACCAAGAGATTAAACTGAGATTAAAGGAACAGAAACAGGGCTAAACCAAATCCAGGCATAAACACACCAAACTGTACAAATGTAACTCCACAAAATGCTTCTTTAGCACAACGGGGTCAGCGTATCTGAAGTACTTAGAACACCTAAGCCGTAATCTCACCACTACAGCAGCACAAAGACAGGAAAATCAATGGTAGATGGGGATTTTTCCCTCCATCAAGCACACACTCGGAGACCCTCCCCCTCCCATTATGCGTCTGCAGCTTCGTCCGCCCTCTCAGTTTACACAGAACTGCTCTGTACACTCTTCTCCTCTAATTTAGTCTCACATGTGTATGTTTGTACACTCACTCAGAACACACACGGCTTATCACTGGTCTCATGCTGTGTGTGATTTGTCAAATTACCCAACAATGAATATGAAATAGGCTCATTACAAGACACGGAACCTCAGATGAAACATAGACACAGTTAATAATTACGTGGCATATGATGATGAGGACGACCCATTGTTCAACGTATCAACAAAAAGTTTAATTATTGCTTTTATTGCGTGATTTACAGATTCAATTAACCAATAAAATTGAAGTAGCAAAATTATGTTTTTTTCGTGAGTAGTGTTCAAAACACTACCTCATTTTTTACATCCCTCACATTCTATGTAAAAAAAAAAATCAGAAATGTACCCATTCAATATCCTCCACCCACTTTCACATAGAGCCGTAACAGTTAGCATGCTTAAGAGACTTAGTGTATACATAAGTGCCAATTTTGCCTCCTAAACAGCACTCACCAGTAATGACACTTTGTCGCATGCTTTTCATGTGATTAATGGATATTCACTAACTAATTCAAAAAAAAATAAACACAATGACCTTGCCAATCATTCTAACAAGGGGTTGGTGGGGGTATTTTGTTTTGCCCTGACCAAACAAAAGGAGTGACATGGTCTCCCACAAAAGTAATTTTCAGTTGATACGGTGCACGAGAGCAGATAATTTACATTCATTATATATTTACTTCAATACTTGGACTTCCAACAGTGAGGACCACACCCTAAATACGTTTCTTAAATGTTATGTTTCTAAGTAAAAACCTGTGCAGCTAACATTAGCAGAGCACATTAACTAGTGTTCTATGTTACGCCAGCTACCGAAGGTACACTGAATGTATAGAACTGCAGAACCGCATTACAGCAATATTGTATTTACAGGATTCTGCATCGATGGAATTACACAGCTTGATTTATCAGGTATTTTACTCACTTGAGTAGCTCAAAATAGATGCCCCTACTTGGTCTTTATATACGTATATATATTCCAAATTGAAATTTCAGAGAACATACTGTATCACAGAATTTGTCTATGTCCCAACATAAAATGATGTACTGTATATAAATAATGCACCCCTAATGTATCAACAGTGGCCCATAGCTCATTTCTGCCCAGGGCCCTTCAGCAGTTTAATCCACCCGTGCACACAATTACCTTCCTGCTTGTGTGAATAAATCCTTCTATTATTTTAATTGAAGTGATTAACCACACGCATCAAGTCTTACCAGAAGACAGAAAGCAATTAGACAATCCAAATGACCGATGGGTCATTCGGTACTTTCTTAATAATTTTACAACCACATCCTACTTACGGTACATCCCAAGAAATTGGCCTCATATATAAGTTGACGACACCCATCGCCACAGAATTAATGTTATTATTCTCTATGCGGCGATGCAGTTATGCAGCAATGACCATTAGTGTGTGACAACAGGAATTATCATTTCCAGTGGAGCCGACACGGACTGTTTGCTGCAGGGGTGGGCTGAGCCGGGCAGCACTGGATGGAGACGTAACAAATGCAATTTAGGTCCTTCGAAATTTTCCCCTGAAAACCCAATCATGTCTCTGTAGGGAAGACAGGGTGATAAGGGTCATTTTGTTCTTTCTAATGGAACGACAGAAAGGCTGCGTGTAATGATGGGGTCTCTTTTTATTCTCTTGGCTTTCACTCACTGCCCACATCACTGTCACACTTCTCTCTTCATCATCCCCCCCAACCAGCCCCCCCTCACACACACAGACACAGACACACACACACACACACACACACACACACACACACACACACACACAGTCAGTACAATACAGTACACTGCAGGAAGCGTATGATTAAAACTCATTGGATTAAAAAGTTAAATACTTTTCATTTTCTAACAGATGGATTTCAAAAAAAGTCTCAGAAAACATTCTCCAGCTTTGGCTGAAGGCTGTGAAGTGAAGAATTGAAAAGCGGGAAACAAGGGGAGTGGGGGACGTTCACTCTCCTTTGCCGTCGAGCCTCTGATGTGGAAATGTGTGTGCGTTTGAATTTTGTTTCATATTTTGTCAAAATGCACGCCTGCGTGTGACAAGTACAATTTCACAGTAGAGGTAGCGTCAGACAAACGATATGAGTGAGGAGGAAAAGTGCGTATCGGGCACAATATAGACAGGGAGGACCCAGCCGTGAAACAGCAGAGACAAACCAAAAATAAATACATGGATAAGGAGAAAAAAAAGGGAGTAAATAGATAAATGGAGCATAGAGAAAAGCCATTACTCATGTTTACGGGTTTGAGACTTCAGGTTTTCATTTAGAGAAGACGAAACGTACAGTGTAATGTAATGATGGGGTAGCGTTGCATGGATTTAGTCCTGACAGAAAGTCCATTTGATGTCTTGACAAAGGGAACTCACACACACATGCACACACGCACACATACACACCATTTGTTGTCAAGCATCTCATTATCACTCAATTAGTCCCATGAGAATGTGCCATAAAAACACCACTGCTAAAATTGTGTGTGTGTGTGTGCGTGTGTGTATGTGTGGGTGTGAGAGAGAGAGAGAGAGAGAGAGAGAGAGAGGGGGGTTAACGGTGGAATTTATTGTGTGCTTCTTAATTGTGGTTTATAGTGCTGGTGGCTCTAACTTTTATCAATAAACACACCTCCAACAGTTGCTTTGGAATCCAAATCTCACACACGTTGAAAACTCAGATTGTGATCTCTTGTCAGCTTTGTAGCTGCTTCGTTTGTAATGGATGCACTGCTATTCCACAGAGATTGGTCTTTCCCATGCAAAATGCCCTGATGAAGAGGTGTGTTTAACATTTTCAGTTTGTGTGGAGTAAATGAAAGAAGAAGTGTGTAGCTAGAAGGAGCGATTGTACCCACCGTGGCCTAACAGATACAGAGAAGTAGAAATCAACTAATGAGTGTTAGACGGCCCTACAGAAAAGAGTGCTATATAGGATTATTTATAGCATTATATTGAGTTCAGCTGTGTTGCCCAGCCCTTCTGCACATTATATATATATATATATATATATATATATATATGCAATGGCTCAGGTAGCATTTGTAGAAAAATAAGTGCTAACACAACAGACAGAACAGTCTCTGAATCTCACAGGTGTACAACTGGAAACACACAATACTGAATATTGCATTTTGCAGCCGTGGCACCTGGCTGCTAGCTGCACGGAGTAATTTTGAATTCCTTCTCTTTGATCACACAGGAAAAGCCAATCTTCAAAAAAAAAAAGATATTGCAGAACACAGTTGCATGTCAATCTGTGATGGCATAGCCGACCCCCGATGTGTCCGAGGCTCAACAGAGCACAAACAATGAAACACATCCTGCTGTTTTTCTGACACATTATCAATGTCTATGAAGAAAAGAGTACATTTGTGCGTGTCTGAGTGATCAATAGAGCTCACAGCTATTGATTTCTGATAAGGAGACATCAGGTTTTGTTCTAGGTTTGCACCACACTTCTCTCTCAGCTGTAGATAGACCTCCATCTTCCAATCCCTCCTGACACCAGCTGTCCCTGCAGAGCGGAGTGATTATCTAAGCCTCGAGGCATTGCATTGCAACGCAGGTCATGGGTAGGGTTGCGGCAGTGAGACAGGTATTGATTGGTCCTTCAATCTTTAGCCTGGTTACGTTAGGCGGAACAATGAGAAGTACGTCCCCAGAGGATGCTCGGACTATGCTTCATTCCAGCACTTTAGTCCAGTCACCGATGCTCGCTTTAAAGAAGCAATATTTACACACTCCCCACAGGGGAGTATTATGGAAATATATGTATGGAAAAATCAATGCAGTCAGCCATTCATTACTTTCAAAGCACGTCAACAGTGGTCGTCTCCGCTGTCTAGCAGACACGGTGAAATTATAATGCTACACGGATAGATGAGCGCTGAGGTTATGTGCTATCTTTCTTTTACCACGGGCTTCCTCTATGTGGATAAGAAGTGATAAATCATACATAACACGCTTGATATCTGCAGTTCAGATCAGCGGTCCAACTCACCACCACACAGCACCACCGAGACACAAACACACACACTTTTATTTTAAATGTTTTTTAAACACACACAGAAATATTCACCTCAGCTTAATACTTACCCTCCACTGCAAAGACTCCCATGTTGTTGTGGTGACAGTGGTGCGAAGAAGTGGCTTACATTTGATTGACATCTGTTTGTTGAGTGTGCACCTGGA